CTGTTACTCCCGCAGCACTCACCACCTTTCTGCTAGGTTTGATAATTCACTGCAGTGGCCACACAGAACTCACAGATTATGGGGTTTATTAGGGAAGTACCAGGCTACAATTCAAGTTCAGAAAAAATGCTCAGTCTCTCTCAGCCCACTGTCTCTTACCCAACAGTCTCTCTCAGCCACTCTCCCAACAATGTGTGTCTCTTGGTGTGTCTCTCAGCAATGCGTGTCTCTCGGTGTCTCTTTCTCCGCAGCTCATGTCTCTCAGGAGCACATGTCTCTCAGGAAAGAGTTTCCCTCAGCAGCACATCTTTCTCAGCCAGCAGTCAGAAAGACTTCTTCTGCCTCTCAGAGGCCTCCTTTTGAGCCTGACAGAGTGCCCAAACTAACCAATTATAACATCAGAATTCTAAGCACCTGAGAGAAAGCGAACTTCCCAGAACATTGCTTTGTGCCACTTGCAACAGAAACACCCCAGGTGGATAACTTTTACAATCAGGAGCACCTCAGTTGCTCACAGCAAATTCCGCCATGGAGTTTACAAAGACTTATGGCTAGAAAAGCCATACCAGGTAATTTACTACACCGCAAGTGGTTAAGGCATTTGGTGTTAACCAAAAGATTGGTGGTTTGAATCCACCAGCCACTCTGTGGAAGAAAGATGAGGTGGCCTGCTTCCATAAAGGTTTACAGCCTTGGAAACCTAATGGGGGTCTCTTTGACTGAGAATTGACCTTGGCAGTGAGTTTTTGTTTGTTTGTTTGTATGGAAAAGGGAGCTCTCAAACACAGTTCGTAGAAATAAAAATGGGTACATTGGAAAGTAAATTGCCAATATCTAGTAAAGTTCATGATGTAGGTATTCTGTGACATGAACATTCATAAGAGCACTATTTATAAATTCAAAAAGTGGGAAAAATCCAAATGTCCTTCAATAATAGAATAGATTGTGGTATACTCTACAATAAAGTACTATGCAACAATGAGAATAAATTACCTATTTATACGCTTAACCACATGCATGAACCAAAAGAGTATACATGTGTGATGTATATACAAAATGGATGGAATTGTATTAAATAAGCAAGTGTGGAATTCTTTTATTTCATAAATTAGTGTATATTTTTTAAAATTTAATCATTTCAGTAGTTGGGCCAAAACAAACTTCATATTGGAATCTGATCTGCCTTCTAGATCTACCTGACAATTTAAAGAAAATACAAGGGATAGAGGAACAAGTTCGAAGGCCCCTCAGGGGGCAATCAGCAAAATCCAGACCATGGGAAACCCCATAGAACAAATGACTCAGTTTCCTCAACAAATAATTTGTAAGCAATAAAAGAGAGTGAAGTAGAGGGAAAATCTATAGATTAAAAGAGATTTAAGGTGCAGATTAATCAATTGTATGTGTGGACCTATTTGCACCTTGATTAGAACAACAAAACACTATTAAAATTTTTGAGACAATCAGGGAATTTTGAACATTGATTCAATATTTAATGCTATTCAGGAATTACTGGGGTTTTTTTAGGTGTGATAATGGTATTGTGCTTATGTTTTTACAAAGCATTCTTATCCTTTAGAGCAGCATACTAGAATATGTATTGTTGTTGTTGTTGTTATGTGCCATGGAGCCAGACCTGACTCATAGCGACCCCTCCTTGGGTTTCCAAGGCAGTAGCACTACAGAAGTAGATTGCCCCATCTTCCTTCGAGTGGCTGGTGGGTTTGAACCGCCAGCCTCCTGGTGAGCAGTCAAGTACCTTTAGGCACTATGCTACCAGAGATCCTAGAATGTGTATAGACTAAGCGAAAAAAAAAATGTAATAATTCCTACAAAACAGTATTCATTCAGTCAATATATCTTCATTGAGGACCTACTGTATGCTAGGTATTCATCGTTCTAGATACATCAGGAAACAAATTCACACACAAAAAAAAAGACAAAATAAAGTGTCTAATGGGAGGAATTTGAGTAAGAGCTGACTACTAAGAGACACTAATGGATTAACTCAAATTTTTTATGTACGACAATGGCATTGGAGTTATGTTTAAAAAGAAAAGAGAGGCCATATTTCTTGGAGTAAGAGAGAAATCTAGGATTTGCTTTAAAGTAATTCAGCAAAGGGAAAAATATGAAAATGTTTAAAAGGAGAGTAGATGAAGTAAATATAATACAATCCTGCCAATGGCTGAATCTGGATGATGAATGTACAGAGGGGGTTGTTGACTCTCCTTATGTTTTAAAATTGAGGGAAAAAATGAAGTCTAATTCATGGAATTTACTGCTTGTATTCTGCTGTTAAGAAAAAGAATTGGTATTCGTGCACCTTGCCTATGCAATTATTCATCATATATATTCTAACTGTGTTAGTATTTTTCATTTGTGATACATTATTATTTTTAAGAACTAAAACTCCATTTAACTTCATGTTAATTTTTTTAAAAAAAAGAAAGGAGACATACATCCCTCTTCCCTTGTCATTGGTGCTTCCAAGCAAAAACTCTCTTGTTTAGCAGAAAGGCACACTGAAGCCTGAGAGTTGACTTGACGTGGGGAATTCCTACAGGCAGGCATTCATCTGATTAGAATCTGCTTTCCTTAGCCCCTCCGGTCAGGGTGAGGTCCGGCTTGACCTGTGCTTCCGTCTCCCTTCCGTATCACCTTCCCTATCATAGCTAAACATCTAGCTGGTGTTGTGCTTATTTGCTGTCCAGTCAGCTCCAGCTCGTGGCGTCTTTATGTACAAGAGAAGGAAATACTGCCCAGTCCTGTGCTGACTTCACGACCTTTGGTATGTCTAGTACCAAAAACCTGCTGCCATCGAAAGGATTCTGACTCATAGCGACTCCCATTGGGTTTCCAAGGTGGTAAGTCTTTACCAAAGTAGATTGCCCCATCTTCCTTCCATGGAGCGGCTGTAAATGCTCCTTTGGGAACATGGGCCCTTCTTGGAAAACAAAATATATAAGGCCTTCACCAGTTTAAAAGAGCTCTAGTAGCACAATGCCTAAGGCATTTGACCGCTAACCAGAAGGTTGGTGGTTCAAACCCACCAGCGACTCCTCAGAAGGAAGGCTGGGCAATCTACTTCCACAGTGATACAGCCTCGAAAACCTAAAGAGAAGTCGGTATGAGTCGGATTCGACTTGGTTGCGTTTTTGCGTTTTCTAAGTACTTTATAAATGCTCTTGATCGGTGCTCTGTGGTAGCCTCCTTTGAGTTCACAGCGAGCATTCACTAGTTGCTGGAAAACAAAAAGTTTGTCCGGTGGATTCTTGTGGGGAATTAAAATAGCAAATCACTTCTCGATGACTTGCAAAGTGCTCACAGGAAATCTCTGGGGGAAGCACAGGCGCCTGATTCTTGCTCCTAGCTGACACAGTCATTACTTACAAGGGTTTCTGGCGGGTCTCTGGGCACCAGGCTTAGAGGAAAGCTTGGGGGTGAGGGAGAATTTGAAGTTCCTTTGGTTCCCTCAATAAGGAGCTCTGGTGGCATAGTGGCCAAAGCATTCGGCTGCTAACCAAAAAGTCAGCGGTTTGAATCTACCAGTTCTTCTCGGGAGAAAGTTGAGGCAGTCTGCATCCACAAAGAATCACAGCTTTGGACACACTATGGGACAATTCTACTCTGTCCTATAGGGTCGCTATGAGTCAGAATGGCAGTGGGTTTAGGTTTGGTTAATTTCTTCAAAGAATAGGTAAGGAGAGACCTCAGGTTATTTTCCCATCTGTGAAATGGCACCATAGGGTTGAGAGAAGATGTGCAAAGATCAGTAGTTGGGAGGAGGGGGCTTTCCTCCTTCTTCCTCTCCCATCTTTCTCATCTCGGCTTCCGAGGATTAGAAATTTGGCGATTCCAAAGTTTGTTCGTGGCGGGCCACCAGAGTCTCCCCCGACACAAATGTTCAGGGAAATCAAACACTAACAGGACGGAAAGGTAAGGGCACGAACGCCCTGAGCGCCTACGTCTGCTCGCGTCCCCCTTCTCTCAACCCTCCCGCTCCTCCTTCTTTCTATCCTCTCACCCCACCCCCGCCCGCTTCTCACTTCAGTCCCCGCCCCACTCCTGCCCTTTCATTGGCTGAGCCGGCCGGCCGGGCCTCCCCGGCTTTTAAAGGGCCCGCTGCCTTCGCTGTCCTGGGAGCCGCAGCTGGTCCCGGCCTTGGGCCCTTCGGGGGAGGCTGCCCGGAGGAGGCGGCGGCCGTGGCGGCGGTAGTACGTCCCCTGCCTCCAGGACCGCGGGCTCTTTCCTTCCAGGTACGTCGCTAGGATAGCGCGCGTGGCTCCCAAGCTCCCATCCCTGACCCGGCTTCCCTGCGCCAGTTTGTATCTCCTGAAGCCCCCTCCCCATCACCTTTCTGATTCCCCCATCGACCATGTCCTCCTGACACTTCCACCTCCCTGCAACCCCCAGACCTAGCCAGGGTTTTGTTGGCGGCCGTGAGAGGCCCGGTGGGGGTGAGATGAGGCGCATGGGGATACAGGACACCCCCATCCGTACAAGGAGAGATGCCCTTGGCCCCCAAATATCACAGGATCCCACTCCCTGCTCTGCATACAGAGCAATACTAGCTGGTTCCACCTTGGAAACCAGGACAACCAACCCCCCCCCCTTCTGATATACAGGCCTAGAATGTACATATCATTCAATCACCGTCGGATCCAAGCGGCTCACAGCATCAAGAGACGTAGGTCCATCATTCACCCCAGGTCACAGGCTGAGTGTGTGCGCGTCCATACCCCCCGCACACCCACACACATACACACGCACACAGAGATGGTTGCCCAGTCTAATGTACCTGGTGCTCACATCCTCCACCAGTCCCCTATACTGGTCTCTCCATGGGTTAAGCAGCCCCAGATGGAAATCTGAGTGCTGCACTTCATCCCTTGAGCATGGTCTGCTCCATGGCTATATCGGTTTCCTTTCTGTCCCCTCTTTGGCAGGTCTGTCTGTCTGTCTGTCCAGCCCTGGGGGTCCGCAATGGCCACCTTCAGCCGCCAGGAATTTTTCCAGCAACTGCTGCAGGGCTGTCTCCTGCCTACTGCCCAGCAGGGCCTGGACCAGATCTGGCTGCTCCTTGCCATCTGCCTCACCTGCCGCCTTCTCTGGAGGCTTGGTAAGTGCCTGCCACACCATGTGCTGCTACACCAGGCCATATTGTTCCTGCCACATTCATCCATGCCAAGCCACATCTTACCCTGCCACACCAAGCCAGGCCCAACCATGGCCAGCCCCACCTCATCCCACCAGGCCTACCTAGCCTCATTCCACCACACCACATCCTGCTATGCCCAGCCACTCCATGCCACTTCCTGCCACTTCCTGCCACACCAAACCATGCTTCAATAGTCCTGTGTTCTGGGATTCTGGAAAAGTAAGGTCCCCAGATCTTTGGATCCTGAACTGTCTATATCCCAAGGTTATAAGATACTAAAATGCTGATGTCACAGAGTTATGGAATCGTAAAGTACCAGGGTTTAGGGATTCTGACAAGTTGAAATTCTCACATTCTAGGATTCCAAAAGCTGACACTCAGGATTTATAGAATTGGGGTATAAAGAGATCTCTAGGTTCTGGGATGTTTCCACAATCACAGCGGCCTGTATCCAAGGCTTCTGGGATCCTAAAATGGTAAGATTCCAAGTCCCTTATAGGATACTGAGATTTCTGGAAATATGAGATCCAAAGGTTCTATTTTTTTTTTCCTTTTCTTTTTATAAATGGATGTTTTATTTCCCCTCAGCTTTATTATTTTGAAATATTTCAAATCTACAGAAAAGTTGAAAGCATACTACAATGAACACCCATATACCTCAGCTGATTCTCCTACAGTTGGCATGTTGCCACATTAGCTCTATCAATCAGTGTATCTATCTAATCTTTCTGAATCACTTGAATAACTTGCTGACATCATGACACCTCACCCCCAAATTCTTCAGTTTTTTGCTCCCAAGAACAAGGACATTCACCATGAGACCAAAGGAAATAGATGGAGCCCAGCTACCACTGTCAACCACTCAGAAAGGCAGTAGGGGATCCTGGATAGAGTGGGAGAACAATGTGGAACAAAACTCAAAACCATAAAAAAGACCAGGTTTACTAGTCTGATGGAGCCTGGTGAGACCCCCAAGACTATGGCCCCTAGTTACCTTTCAGGTCTGGAACTGAACTCACTCCCATGGCTTCCAGCCAAACGATAGACAGGCATATAGGGTGAAAATTTACATCAGGTAGATATGGTTCTTAGCACAATCAGTCATGGGAAAACAGAAGGGCAGTGTTTGCACAGGGAGATAGTGCAGGGGGTAGGAATGCATAGGAAAGGACACAGCAAAGAGGTAACTACAGGGAGGAAGTGGGAAGAGAGCTGTTACATTGTGGGGAATTGCAGTCAATGTCATGAAACAAAATGTATATGAACTGCTGTATGGAAAATGAATTTATTCTGTAAAGTTTCACCCAAATCACAATAAAAATTTTAGAAAAAGAAAAGAACGAGGACTTTCTCCTCTATAACCACAACCTCAACCAAGTCAATACTCAACTTTCCTCCAGGGTTCCCAAAATGCCCTTTATAGATATTTCTTTTCTTTAAACACAAGCCTTGCCACCCTCTCTAGCTCCCCAACATCTACTTTGGGCTCCCTTCAGTCTCACTACACTGCAACCTCTAGGCCAGACTTTGTCTCACCTATTTTTGGTCATGTTGGAAGAAGGGACAATTCCCTGGAGAAGGATGTCATGCTTGGTAGGGTGGAGGGTTGACAAAAGAGGGGGAAGCCTTCAACGAGATGGATTGACACAGTGGCTGCAATGATGGGCTCAAGTATAGCAGGGATTGTAGGGCTGGCGTGGGATCAGGCAGTGTTTCGTTCTGCTGTGCGTGGGGTCGTTATGAGTCGGAAACGACTCGACGGCACTTAACAACAACAACAACAAAGCCTTTACCCAGGCTGTGCCCTCAGCCCAGGATATCCTCCCCTTTCTACCAGCCCATCATCCTTCTCTTTTTTGTTTTTCCTCTTAACCAAAGGGTTGCCATCCTACCTGAAGCATGCAAGCACCGTGGCAGGAGGATTCTTCAGTCTCTACCACTTCTTCCAGCTGCATATGGTTTGGGTCGTACTACTCAGCCTCCTGTGCTACCTCGTGCTGTTCCTCTGCCGACATTCCTCCCATCGTGGAGTCTTCCTCTCCGTCACCATCCTTATCTACCTACTCATGGGGTATGGGTTTGTGTCTTCATCCCCACGCCCTTGGCCAAGGGCAGATGGACCCCAAGGCTCCGCCTCTGCAGGTTGTCCAGGACAGGGAGGGCATGGAATTCCCTGGAGGCGTCTGAGAGAAGAATTTTCCTATGAGGAGGCACAGAACAGGGAAGGTGTTCAATGTCCCTGGAGAAGGGAATCCGGGAAAATTGTTCACAAGAGAGGTCAAACAGGGCAGGGAAAATGTGAGATCTCCTTAAGGAGGAAATTTGGGAGACAAGTTCTTTCACAAGACTGTATAGGAAAGAGAGGACATGGGCTCCCCCTAAAGGAGGGAATTCAAGAGAATTGTTCCTCCATGAAGTTGTGCAGGACTGGGGAAGGCCTAACCTCTGCACCTTGGTTTCCCACCTCTGTGGTCTCTGAGGCCATGAGCTTCATGAGGTCAAGACCAACACCTTTTTCCCTTAGTGAGATGCACATGGTGGACACCGTGACATGGCACAAGATGCGAGGTAGGCAGCCCTTCCCCTCTTACCAGCCACCCTTTCTGCCCTACCCCACATCTCTTAACCACCCCCACTTTGTGTCTTTCCTTCCCCTCTTTATACCTGGGTCTGCCCACCCAGAGTGTATGCAGGTCTCAGATTCCCCTTGTGTCTATATCTCTCTCCACCGTGAGTTTTTTCCCCCAAAAAAAATCTGTCTGTCCTGTCCCATATATTTACCTAACTCTCTCGAGTAAGGCCACCCGCCCATCCTGGGCCCACTTGCCCACCTGCCTGTCTGACCCCATACTCACCTGTCCATCCTCGTACCTCTCTTTCCCTCCCACTTCTCACCTAATGCTCCCCATCCCCTTCATGCTGATGTGTTCTCTGACTCTCTACTTGACCATGGGTGCCACACATAGGGGCCCAAATGATCGTGGCCATGAAGGCAGTGTCTCTGGGCTTCGACTTGGACCGGAGCGAGGTGGGTACGGTGCCCTCACCTGTGGAGTTCATGGGCTACCTCTACTTCGTGGGTACCATCGTCTTTGGGCCCTGGATATCCTTCCACAGCTACCTACAGGCTGTCCAAGGCCACCCACTGGTGAGGTCCTGGGTGGACAGGTGGGCGGGGACTGTGGGAACCACCACAGGACAGTGCTTATGGATCCTTGATCCCCACAGAGCTGCCGATGGCTACAGAAGGTGGCCCGGAGCCTGGTGCTGGCCCTTCTGTGCCTTGTGCTGTCCACCTGTGTGGGCCCCTACCTCTTCCCGTACTTCATCCCCCTTGATGGTGACCGTCTCCTTCGCAAGTGAGCACAGCCTTTGAGGCCTCTGCCCTGCATTGATGGGATTGGGTAGGGACCTGGGGTCTCCCCAACTCTGAGCCTATGTCTTAATGCTTCTGTCTGTCTTCTGTTACTACAGCAAGAAACGCAAAGCCAGGTAAATGAGGGCAGGTGCTGAGAGTGAGTGGGGCTAACTGGGAAGTTGGGGGCACAGTCTGGTTCTGTAAGTCTGAGTCTGACTACCCACCCCATGACTAGACAGAGAATGGGTGTCTGTCTTTGGCTGTCTGTTTGACCAAGATTGGCTCTATGACTCTGTGTACCACTGGCATTCTGACACATATGATGTGTCTAGTTGTTCCTCTGCTCAGCTGTTTCACTGTTAGAAACAAGTTAGGTGACTATAATGGAGAGGGACCTCTCTGTGACTCTGGCTAGGGGTTGTGTATGGGTTGTTTGCTTATTGGCAACTGACTTCCTGAATGTGGGACTGTGAGTTATGGCTGTCTGACTGTGCCATTGTCAGTACCATTGTCTATATCTAACAGTTATATATAACAGTGATGTGGCTTTCATTGGATATATTACCTGTCTATAACATCTGACTGTGATGTGTTATATGCCTGTCTGTGAATGATTCCGCCTGTTTGCCTATGGTATTGCTTGGTATTGTCTACTTGAGAGGTCATAACCCACTATGTGCCTGTTTGTGGGACTGTCTGCCTCTGCTTTAACTGTAGAATTTGATCCAGCTATTTGATTGTGTAACATCCCTCCTGGGCCCACTACTCACTGGCTTATGGTTATGTCTGCTGCCAAATGAGGCTCTGAAAGGTTGAGTGACTTACCCAATGTCACTCAGCTCAGCAGCCAGGCATTAAACCCAGACTTAATCCCAGAATCCACACTTTTCTCAGTGTAGGGTGCTGCCTGTTTTTGACTATCTGGTTGTCCAACTAACACAATTACTGGTTTTGGCTGTAGAATTGTGTACGTGTGCAGAGTGAGGTGTTTGATGGTCTCTGTGCCTAACTAAAAGGCTTTTGTCTTTTTACAGTCAATGAGTCAGGTAGAGAATTACAAGGCTGAGAGTCTGATAGTGCTTGTCTCTTGCTATGTGGCTGTGTCATCTGTAGGGCTGGGCGGTCGGGCCTCTGATGATGGCTGGGTCTGGATGCCTGGCCCTGTGAGGCTGCAGGACCATGTCATGTTATAGAACAGCTACTGATCCACATGAAACTGTCTGACAGTATATGTATGAATGTGATTGTCCATCCACCTCTTTTACCACTATGTTTCTGTCTGTCTTGTCTATGAACAACTCAGGCCACCTTCCAGGGCCTCTCTGACTTTCTTTCCTTTCTTCTCTGCTGCCCTCCTGACCCTTGGGGGCCCTAGGGGCACCATGGTAAGGTGAGTCCACAGAATGGGGCTAGAGATGCTGATAAATGGTGAGGGTACCACACCAGAGCCTGGGCATGATGCCTCTCTTCCCTGCTCCCTTTTCCCCAGGTGGCTGCGAGCCTACGAGAGTGCTGTCTCCTTCCACTTCAGCAACTATTTTGTGGGCTTTCTGTCCGAGGCCACAGCCACGTTGGCAGGGGCTGGCTTCACCGAGGAGAAGGATCACCTGGAATGGTGGGGAGGGCTGGGGGCCCTCCACCCACAGGGTGCTGCCTAGAAGAGCTGCAGGGAGGGGGAGTGGTGCTCCCAGGGGAGGAAAAGAATGTCAGATGGGTGGTGATCCCAAATGGATTTGCCTGTCTCTTCTGCCCACAGGGACCTGACAGTATCCAAGCCACTGAATGTAGAGCTGCCCCGGTCCATGGTAGAAGTTGTCACAAGCTGGAACCTGCCTATGTCTTACTGGCTCAATAACTGTGAGTCGTCAAGTCACCATTCCAGTACAGTAAGAAGTTTTCAACGTAGACCCTTTCATACATGCATACAACATTAATCGAGCACCTACTGTATGCTAGGCACTGAAGATATAATGTATCTGGTGGGGAGACAAAAATCCCTGCCCTGTGTAGCTGGCATTTTAGTGGGAGGAGCAGATACTAAATCAGAGGGGGAAAATATACAATAGTTGAGTGCTATGGTGGAAAAAGGGAGCTCTGGTGGCATGGTGCCTAAGGCATTTGACTGCTAACCAAAAGGCTGGCGGTTCAAACCCACCAGCCACTCCTCGGAAGGAAGATTAGGTAATCTACTTCTATAGAGATACAGCCTCAGAAACCCAAGGAGGGGTCGCTATAAGTCAGGAGCTATAACTACAGCAGTGAGTTTGGTTTTTTGGGTTTTTTAAATGGTGAAAAAGTTAAGCAGATAAGAGTGATCCAGGAGTGGGTGTGGAGGCAGATTGCAATTTTAAATAAATTTGCCAGTGCAAGTCTCATAAAGATGACATCTGGGCAACAACCCAAAGAAGGTGAGAGAGCATGCAATGTGGCTATGTGGGGAATATAGCAGATAGAAGGAACAGCCAGTGCAAAGGCCTTGTGGTAGAAGTGTGCATGGCATAGATGCAGAACAATGGAGACCCTTGTGGCTGGAGTAGAGTGAGTGAGGGGGAGAGTGGTAGGAGGTAAGGTAAGAGAGGTGATGGAGGTGGAGGAACTGATGGCTGTTTGGCTTTTTCTCTGAGTTAGATGAGGGCTCAAAGAAAACCATGAAGGAGTTCAGAACAGAGGAGGGCTGTAGCCTGATTGAGGATTTAACAGACTCCCTCTGCCTGCTGAGGATAGACTGAGGGGAGTGGGTGAGGGCAGAAGCAGTAAGGAAGCCATTGCAGTAGTCCAGGCCAGCGCTGATGATAGTGGCAGTGGCTGTGGTGAGAAGTCAGATTCTGGTTAAATTACAGAGGCAGAACTAACAAAACTTGCTGACAGTTTGGGTGTAGAAGTGGGAGAAGGATGGATCAAGGGTGACTAGAAGTTTTTACTTTGAGGAACTGGAAGGATGAAGTTGGCATTGACTCAAATGGGGTAGACTGTGAGAGGAACAGTTTGGGAGAGAAGATCAAGAGCTATGTTTTGAACATGTGAAGTTTGAAACTGTTGTAAGGACCTGAGAGCTCCAGTAGGTTGTGGGTGTCCTCATCCCGTGCTATACCTCTCCAAGAAGGTCAAGGGGATCTCAGGAGAATTTTGACCCACATCTCCCCCTCCAGACGTTTTCAAGAATGCTCTACACCTGGGGACCTTCTCAGCCGTGCTGGTTACCTACGCAGCCAGTGCCCTCCTGCACGTGAGCAGGGTGGAGTGGGATCAGGGTGGAAGTTGGGGGACGGAGCAGGGTCTCCTCTTTATTCACCTCATTGCCCCATGGCACCCCCCACCCAGGGCTTCAGCTTTCACCTGGCTGCGGTGCTGCTGTCCCTAGCGTTTATCACTTATGTGGAACATGGTGAGTGCAGGGCCCAGCCTGGTAGATAGGGTAGAAGATTGGTGGAAGGCTGGAACCACCATCCCCTGAGGCTAACCTTACCTCCTTACCTCCACCCACCCACTCCAGTCCTCCGGAAGCGCCTGGCTCGGATCCTCAGTGCCTGCGTCTTGTCAAAACGATGCCCACCAGACTGTTTGCACCAGCATCGCTTGGTGAGGGTTCAGCTTGGACAACCAACCTTGTGCCCCAAACAGCCCCTCAAAAATATGTTACTTCAAGCACTATCTTATATCTGTTTCAGAGTGCCTGGCTTTCTGGCACTGTTCTAGGTGCTGGAGACACAGTGAACAAAGCAAGCCAAAGTCCCAGCCTTTGTAGAGCTAACATTTTAATGGGAGTGACAGTAAGCAAAAATAAATCAGTAAAATATTAGTTTGTTAGGTTGTGATTAGTGCCATGGAAAAGGAAGGGGGATAGGAAGTTGTTTCAAGTTTAAATAGGGAGGTCAGGGGAGGTATCCCTGATGAGGTGATTTTGAGTTCTTTAATTAAAGAAAGTAAGGGAGAGAACCATTCCAGGCAAAGGAAACAACCACTGTAAAAGCCCTGAGATGAGAATGGGCCTGGAATATTTGAGGAATAGCCGGGTGGTCAATGTGACCTGAACAGAGTGAGCAAGGGGTAGGAAGCATGGGTAAAGACATAGCCAGTGGCCAGCTCCTTTTGGGCCCTGTGGGTCATGGTAGGAATTTGGGGGTGTTTTTTTGTTTTTTTCACTCTGTTTGCAATAAGAAGTATGGACAACCTCATATTTGTCCTCCCACGGGACAACCAAGGTTCATCATCATAAACCCCTGGGACTTAAAGCCCCACCTCTGCCTGACTACTCTCATCTTCTGCAACTGGACATGCTTGCCCCACACTTGACCTGGACACTCTCATTGTTAACAGTACCCTCATCCTTGGATATCTTCGGAGCTCCCACAGGAGGAGCTGAATCATGTTTCTTACCTCAGGGGATACCTGGGATACCCTTACTCCTTGCACCCACTGTACCTTGTGTGTCTGCCTGGACTCCCCTGCCCAGGTGGAGGTGGGGGACACAGTGAGTAGGCCCAGTCACCAAGGCTACCCATCTGTCCCCCATAGGGCCTGGGGGTACGAGCCTTAAACCTGCTCTTTGGGGGCCTGGCCATCTTCCACCTGGCCTACCTGGGCTCCTTGTTTGATGTCGATGTGGATGATACCACAGAGGAGCAGGTGAGGTGGGGCCCTGGGGTTTGGGGGTGATTATCCAGGGATGGCACTGCCTGGTCATGGAACCATGAGGACAAAGATGGGGTACCAAATCATGAGGTCCTCAGGCTGCATTTCTTTAGCTTATCCAGCCAGTCCTCCTCAGTCCTCTTTTCTCATTGTCCTTTTCGTTGATTTATACTCTTGGGGCTTTTATTTGGGTGAAG